GAGAGAGAGAGAGAGAGAGAGAGAGAGAGAGAGAGAGTGAGAGTGAGAGAGAGAGTGAGAGTGAGAGAGAGCGCGTATTGTGGCGAATGGATGTTAATGTGGTAACCCAAGCAACAAAAACAGTATATGTTCGCACGAACAACCGAATAAACAGTAAAGGCTGCATGCATGATTGACGAATTGATAAGAATTACGCTGCCGTTGGATACGAAAAACCGAAGCATATCTGGGTCAGATTCAAGCGTTGCGACCGCTCCACACAAAAATTGACACAAAACGTATTCATTTTGATTCATTGCATCTTACGTCAACGTGCGGCAAGCAAAGCAAAGAAAGCTTCGGCTACCTCGGCATAGCAACAACTATCGCAAGCTCTCACTTTCACATATGCATGAATGTACACATATATATGAATATACATACATGTGAAGCAGGTGCCAGAATTCACCACACATGAGAGCAAACCAGCATGTTGAACAACAGGGCAGCATTAGGAGCAGTGAGAACCAACTTCTCTGTCTGCGTCTAGACTTAAAGTAACTAAGCTTTAAGGGCGACACACAGCAAACACATGTACATACACATGTATCTATTGCATGAAATTATGGATGTATTCGTTCGTATTGAGCGTATGAGAGGTGTGGTGTCTGTGTGTGCGAGCGAGTCGATTGTCTGTGGGGCTGTTTGTATTAGCGTCGTACTTTTACGCAATAGCAAACGATGCTGACGCTGACGATAACGTCTGACACGCGATGGCTGACCGAGGCTCGTAACCAGGCCCGGCGCAGTCAACTAACGCTCAGACAGAGAGTCAGACCCAAAAAGCATAGACGACAAGTAACCACCCACCCAACCAACATATAAAACCCAAGATGAAATGAAATTTGTTAACTTTTCTTTCTCAAACTTTTTACTCTTTGATTTTCAGCTGTTATGTTGATGTGCTCAAACTGTACAGAGACACTTGGACCAGTAAAAGACTACTGAATGAAGCTGCCAAGTGACAAACTCCACCACCACGCAACGCTTTAAGAAAGCAACCACCAAAGGCCAACCCTGTTGCCATCTTTACATGTGAATCGATTTCATTTGCCGTCACGAAAGAGGAAGAGTAGCGCAGCGCAACACTAACGTGGAAAACAAAACAACAAAACAAAGTGAAAGAAAAAGAAATTTAAAGACATCCAGGGGCAAGGGGCGTGGCAAATCGGACCTCAATATTAGTGATTTTTTAAATTCTGCTATATTTTGGACACTATTGATGCTAGAGACCTTAAATTTGGTATATATACTCGAGCTCCCAAGGCCAAAAAGTTTTGATGGATATACATATGTCCGCCCACAAGGAGCGTAGCAAACCGAAAAAGTTGATATATCCTAAAGTATTAGAGCTAGAAGCTTCAAATTTGGATAGTTAAGTTACTAGTAACGTTCTCTATCGATTCTCCAAATAATATTGTTACGCCTCTTTCAGGTCTCTAGTATCAATACTGTCCAAAATATAGCAAATTTGAATAGCCAGAACATCTTCAGGTTCTATTTTCCACACCACGTGTGGCAACGCTTAAAAGCTCTATAGTTTAATCCGATTTGCCACGCTCCAATGGGCGTAGATATATCCGCCATAGCTCGTGATCTTAGATGGTCGACGCGGATCTACATTCTGAATTTCAGCTCTCTAGCTCATCAACTAATATTACTTCTGATATATCGAAAAAATTAATTTAAAAAAAATCACACTTAAAACTATTTAAACTTAAACTTAAAAGCATCACCTATTATATTTGGTGATAATTTTAGGTTTAAGTTTAAATAGTTTTAAGTGTGAATTTTTTTAAAGCTTTCCATCTAGGAGCCAGATGTTTTTATTTAATAACAGTAAGATGTCCAAATTTTTTGACTTAAGGCGGGATCGACGTGTGTCAATAATTTTCCCAGCTTTACTAAATGTTCTCTCCCAATCGTTGGAGCTTGCCGGAACGCAAATGTGTAAATGAGCGTACTGTGTGATGTGCTTAAGATGTTGCGCACTAATCTGCAACGTTTTAAATGGCGTTCGCAAAGTAACGGTAATTTTTTGTATTGTGCCAGACTATCGATAGTCGCTAAATTCTATCGAGGTATCGCCGTTTTAGAAAACAATCGATAGTACAATCGATTGTTTTGCATCCCTACCTTGAAGGGTTCAGGGGATCTCGTAGGCAAACAGTCTCAGCTAAAGCTGTCTCATTTGTTTAGTGTTTTATTTGATGTGGTTTTCGCTACTATTCTTCCAAGAGGATATGATTTCTGGCATATCGAAAATACATTTAACGATTTGCAACGCCCCAAGTGGGCGGAACAGGAAAATTTTAGCACTTTCTAAAGTGACGATATACACGAGTATGCGTAAGTCTGTAGCTTCAACAGCGCCGAAATAATATGTGATCCTACGGGCGGATAGCAAGAAACCAATATACTTACTTCTCTTTAGTAAATGAGAATAAAATCTCAAATCATTCAGAGTTCAGGGGATCTCGAACAACAGACGGGTACACCGACCTGAGTTTTCTTTATTATATATACAGTTTGGCAAGAAATTGTTGTTAATTTACCTATTTTCATTAAAATTTTTTTGAAAATTAATATTCTTACTGTTTTCATTTCGCTTCAAAGCAGAACATTTTTCCCTGTATGTAAACACTTTGTTACCAAATTGTATTTTGTTTTCCAAGCATGTGATGTAAAGGGCACTTTGCCCATATTTGATACAAAACGATCTTATGATGCGCTCTATTAATAGACACATACAGCTCTAAACATATGTATGTATATTCACATACCTGTAGATACAATTTAATGTAGATACACACAGAAAATTTATTTGGCTGACTTTTTAAATGTGTGTGCACATTTAAAAGGATGGGAAATATTCAATAATTTACTACAGCCTTGCTACATAGGGGATAGTATGGCAGTCATTATTAAGAGACTATAAATGTATGTATCCAATGATACTAGCATACACACACAGAGAGAAAAACACACAGAGACACCCATGCCACTACCACCACTACGTAGCAACCCCCAGTGGTCGTAAAAAGCTGCTTTAAACTGAACCCCGTCTTGATTACCGCACGCAAAACAACAAGAATATCACTAAAAGCTAATGCAAGCCACAAGATGCTATTGACGAAGTGTGGTCCGTCATCAGCAGACGACTACTGACATCAGCCAACATTCTCCCGTATCAACGCTGTGGGCTTTCAGGGGAGAGATTTGTCTCTGGCCTACAGATTGATGGAAGGGCCTAGCAGACGGCTTTAAGGGTCTGCTCAGGGTTTGATGTTAGGTAATGCTTGGCTAAGCTTTTTATGGCTCCCAGCAACAGCAGCAATCGCCCACAAACGCTTTTCAATGTCGGGGAGCTAACTTTAACCATACGGGACCGATATACACATGTACATGTATGGATTGTGGTTCAGTCAGCTAAAGAGCAACTGTCCACATGATGAACTCTGAGTCTATAGAGAACGGTAATCAAAATCCACCACCGTGCGAAAAGAAAATATCTCGAATAGGGTTGCAGAGAAAATCGATGAACGGCTCAAAAGTTTATCCTTTCGCTTCTTGTTATTGCTGTTAGTGTTGACAACAACTGAAAAAACCGCAGCAGTCAAACTCAGCAGCAACTTGTTCATGGGTGCGTGTATGAAAGTTTATTGGTTGACTATCTGCGTAGAGACTAGTGCTGCTGCCAATCGCCCAGTGGGCCTACCCACACGATTGCCTAGCATTCACAACAAAGGCAAATTAAATTACAACAAAAATCGAAATGATATAAAATACATATGACTCTACATTCAAAATTTGACGACTCTACGTCTAAAAATATAGGAGATGTAATATATACAGTCCGTTCTCGATGATTCGTACCCCGCTAAAGGTCCCTTGAAAAAACTTCGTTAATTCGTAAAAATCCCATACATTTTGGTCCCCTCGCTAATTCGTAATTTTTCTGCCTACTCGGCCATGATCTTGCCTCTTATGAATCGTTTCGAAACCTCTTATAATTCGTAATTTCGTTTCGTAACCTCTTGTAATTCGTAATTCTTGGTTTTTCTGTTGAACTAGCGTTAGGCTGCAAACAGTGCGCGCCTAGTCGAAGATGAAGATGAAGACGAAACGCAAGCTTCAACCGCATTATGTTTGCAGTCTTACACATGTACATAGATCTCGCACATGTACATAGATGTCGCTTCATGTGCGAAATTTCGTTGTTCTCTCTATTGGATTTACATTAGTTTGCTCATTTTATTTGAAGCGTGCAGACGTAAAAATGGCAAGCAACCGTTCTCATAAAACACTATCAATTTCTCAAAAACAAGACATAATAGCAGCTATTGATAATGGAGTAAAAAAAAATTTAAAAATTTTAGTTACATAATATTGAAATGAAAGTGTATTTTATTTATTTTTATTTTTAATAAGTTAAAATTGTTGAAATAAAGTTAAATATAAAAACCCCTTCGATTCGTATTTTGATTTCTTACACCCTGTTCAATGGAAACCTCGGTAAATCGAAAACCTCTATAATTCGTAAAAAATTCGGTTCCCTTGCCATTACGAATTATCGAGACTCGAATGTAATATAATTTAGCTCATAAATTCTAAAGTAAAAAAAAAATGCATTTTACGATTTACCACGCTTCTAGTGGGCGGATCCGGAAAATTTAACCTGTTATAGATCGGAGATATACACGAGTATATGTTCAAAAGCCAAAGTCATGTTCAAGTCTCTAGCTTCAATAGCTAGAAATAGATTGCGATCATACGGACAGACGGACAGTCGGACAGCAAGACGGACATTGCACAAAATCAATATACTCATTTTACTTTCGTGAATGAGTATAAAAAGGACGTTGTTGATTCTACGGTCAGGAGAGTGCTTCATAACAGTCATTATCATGGCAGAATAGCTTGCACCTAGCCTTATTTCGATAAGCGCAACAGGCCAAAGCGATTTGAATTTTGTCAAGTTTTGATTCGATGGTTTTTTTAACGGATGAGTCGAAATATAACATATGTATTTATATTTGATGGCAACGATCAAAAACACAGCTTTTTGAGTGCTAAAACGTGGACCCTCTATAACTGTCCAAAAGTGATGGAAACACCGGATCAACCTCCAGATATGAATGTAACCTATGACATATCCTGGAATAAAATAAATTCTAAGTAGAGACGATCGCATGAAACAACTTATTGAGGAGTGGAATTAATCATGGTGTGTGATTTATTATTTTTTTTTTTTTTTTGACGTCTATATTATTTCATGTAACTTAAATATTCAACTTGTATTAAAAAAAAAAAAAAAAGACATATCTTAGAATAATACCAACATAAAACCAGTCTAAAACATAATAATGTTTAACATAATTTTGGCATATTTCACAAAATACTCCAAATATGGCTGGCCAGATTAATAGGTGTGCTCAACAAAAAAAAAAAAAGCAAGAAAGAAAGCTCTAGTCGAGACTGCTCGACTACGAGATCCCCTGAACCCTAC